ACGAACATATGTACGTTTACACGTACGAAATGCCGGTTGACTTTTTCATAGGTTGCCGAAACGACGGACAATTTTCGCGAAGTAGCGCGAATTCGTGCGGGCTACGGTGAAACAGGTTCTACGGAGGGACGCTTTTTTCGTCGTCGGCGAGCCTGCGAGAACCCGATCGCCGATTCGTCGCACTCGCGAGAAGAACGGGGTTGCCGCTCGCGCATATTTATCACCGTCGTTAATAACGCGCGAAAAAAGCCTTATCGCCTACCGCAGCGAATTTTTCGATGGGTGCCCCGGCCGACGGTTCGACGGTCATCGAGAATTAACTTCGTCGCGAAGGGCGGCCACGAGCGGAACCCCGCGTAAAATCGCACGTTCGAGAGAGCCGGAGTCGTAATATTTCAAGAATTTCCACAGTTTTGATACGACGCGTCCTCCAGGTAAACATGCTCGACGTTCTGTCAAAATTATAGAGGAGAACGTGGTGAATTATGACTTTTTGTAAGTATCATGGCTCCTCTTAACATCTCCGTTATTAGGTGATGAATTATCAGGAGATTTGTGAGAACCACGGAAAATTAGATCAGACTGTATGACGGCTCGCGCGAAATTCGTGGTTTTCGGTTTAGCGCGCATTTTTTCCCGGCAACGACGTTCACTTTTCATTTTTCTTCATCGACCACCCCTCGCTTCCAAAATCGCACGGCTACCGGCCGTCGTCTGAGCGCTCCGAGGCGAACGTAAATCGATACCGATCGCTGATGCTGCACATCTTGCGATGTTTCCTAAGCGCCGACACGCCTCGCAATTACGGCCGTAAACTACCGGCGAATAGCGGGGTGTGAGTGAAACGTAAGAGGCGCGTAATTGCAACTCGATAACAGTAAACATATCGTGACTTCACGCCGATCACGAATTTAGCGCCGTTCCGGGTCGTCGGAAGAATTCGTTTTCGCACGCGCGGAATGTGTTGGTACATATTGTTTAAGGGGAAAAAAAAAAAATGAAGATACCCGAACGACTTTAACGTTCCCGTCGAAAGCGCGTGTTTTCGCGGTTAAGTACCAAGTTTCAAGCATTTCTTCCTTTTTCCCCACGCCGCGTGTTCTCCCAGCACTTTTTTTTTTTACGAAGACGCGAATGTTTGCCGAGGCAAGCCGGACTTTTTCCTTCCATTTCGCTCGCGAAAGGAAAGATCACGCGAAGAAGAGATGAGTGCGCAGGAAAGAGAGACAGAAGAGGTGTGGAGGAAGCCGAGGAAGACGAGGGTGAATGTACTCGCCACACCCTGTCTTAAAGATTGTAAACGATTATTAATGCTCCACTGCGGCTGACCCGTAACCTGACGGTGGGTCTTCCCTCTCTCAACGCCCCCCTCCCCCCAAATTACGCCCCAATCGTGCCCCCTTGCCAACCTTTCTCTTCTTCCTCCCTCGAAATAATCTCGGCTGAAAATATCCGGGTGAAATCGTGCGGGTCGGCTTCTCGACGGAATCGATCCTTATCCGGTGTTTTTCTTAATTAGCCCGCCAGCCTCCCTCTTCCCTACCTCTCTCGCTTTGCAAGAAATAAATAACACCGGGGTTACGTCCGGCCACGTTAACTAATTTGCGTAACACGCCGCGGGCTCGCATCGAAACCTTCGCACCGGCGAATCATCCGACTATTGTAGCCGAGATGAATTATCTGGGGAAATAAGAGCGAGATGTGATGAAGTACAAAGGTAAAATATACGCAATAAAAATTCAACGGGTGACTATATGAAAAAAAAAAAAAACCGCAACTACCAAACCATTTTAGATGAAAAACGTCAGTCCTTATATTGTTTCGTATTTACACAGAGAAACAGTTTTCTTCGAATTTAGTAAACGGGTTTGTTTGATATAAACAACATAATTTGACATAAAATATAATTTATAAGTTTGGATACAAAAGAAATATGCTATTTGACGTAAAGATATTTATTATATGAAGAACCAAACAATCCCTGTTTGTTAAATCGAACATTCGAATTTGATTACTCCATTCCAAAAAAGCAATTTGCTTTAATTAAAAAAATTGTATCAAACCCGAAGAATTTTCATCCTCCGCGCACGCTTCGTGTTTTATACAATTTTTTATACGATTGAAGACTATGAGTTCGAGATTTGCAGATTGCTTTATAATTATAATCAAAGATGATTTTCGATGATAAAACTCTCAGACAAATAATGTAGACATAAGCGTGTCTGTGTCTGAGAAATCTCGATCACTAAAAGTACCCCGTGGGGCGAAAAATTCTTAGACATGAAGCACAAGGCTGGAAGGAGAATTTTATTATCGAGAATTTCTTTCCCAGAAGATAGAAGTCGTAAGTGGACACCTATTGAAACGCATCTCCAATACGTAGAGTTCTGCTGCGCGGAATCATTTTCCAAGAAGAACATTTCCGAAGAGCGAAGTAAACGTAACGCAGCGCGTAAAAGTATTTCGCTATAAAAGTGAGCCCGCGCGACAGCGTATCTTTCTAATGAAGAATCATTCCAAGCTAATTAACTATCAAGTGTGACACTTCGCAACAGTCGCGCGAGTAAGACCGCTCGCAGCGGCAGAATTATTCAACAATGAGAAACTCGGCGGCAATTTCAAGTCGAATACACACCGATAAATTCAATACACGGATGGCGTCACATGGGAATATTACCGTCCGAAAATATATACAACCGTGTATGAAGATACGCGTAACCAAGATGTAGATAACTATCGGACGATAAATCGCGAAGTAACTCCTAATTGGGATTTATCTCCGGGGACAAATACCGCCGTATCATCTCTCGGAGATGAGGCTCTCCCGAACGCATCGGTACGAATGCGGAAATGCGACGCGAATTCGCATCAGTCCCCGATGTAAACACGATAACGCGGGCATTAAGATAACAAGCGGCGTCGCACGCGACATGAGTTACATTCCGCGAGAGTCGCGCGACCTTTGCGCGCGCGCGCCGATAAAACCCGGCGGTTTCGGTGCGATCGGATCCGTTCATTAGGGGAGCCGCTCGAGCGGCACGGGAGAGAGGCGAAGAGTCCGATAATAATTAATAAGACTTAAATGAGCCACCGCCGCGCGCGGGAACGACTGATATCGAAAGCGAGCGAAGGTACTTCGGTGCGTCCGCGCTGACGAAAGCAGTTTCCACTTTCCAGGTCTCTCCCCTCAGAAGTCGTGGTCTCTCGCGGGCTCGAGTGTAAGTCCGATGTCGCCGCGCGATTCCCGATCCGAGGCGATATGACGAGTATAAAGATAACGAGGCGGCGCGCCGGAGAGAAGTCGACGAGCAATTATGCAAATCGCGCGTGACACGTGCTACACGACGGCGACGACGACGGTGCTCATTATCGAGCACGTCAGTCTCTCTCTCTCTCTCTCTCTCTCTCTCTCTCTCTCTCTCTCTCGCTCGCCGTGGAAAAGAGCACGGGTAGCAGAGGAATCGGCCGTACTGAGGCAGTGACCCAATGAGTATCGCGATGCTTAAAATAGAAGGGCCTCGGGAAACGGGGGGAGGAGGGGGGACGAAGGTGGAGGCGAAGGGCACGTCGGTAGTCCTGTTACGCTCGTATTTACGAGCCGATCGGCGCTGAACGGTGTGTTACCGCGAGACACAATTTTAATATCCAACGTTCGCCGTCGTATCGCGCCGCGATGCGACACGATACGCGGCGCGTGTAAAGATAACGAAAAGGAAAGAAAGAGAGAGACTCATCGCGGGGCAACGCAGGCGGGCCGGCCGCGAAAAATTATGCAAATAGTCCGGCGATGCGTTCTCGCAGCTGCGACTCGTCGATACTCGATAAAGGCTGGGTTTTAAATGCACGTATATACGGCGCGCTCATTTGTCCGCGACCTCGTGAAGCCGCGCGAGATCGATCCTGGGTGGCGCGCATAAAACGGAATGTTTCGAAGGTGTAAAAGGAACCGTCGATGAGGGTGCAAATGGACTCTGGTGGTCCGAATTCACGGTAATCTCTCCCTCTCTGTGGGTTCACGATCGTTTCGCCCCCGCCAACGTGAACACGCCGAAACACGAGATAGTCGGGCGCGCACTTGTGAAGCACTCATCAAGAGAGATAAATAAACGTTTCGTCTCGGAGCATTCTGGAGAAACTGTCTCGCACTTTCCTCTAAAGCTATCTCGAAAATGTTGATCCTCCGCGTTAACTCCTTGAATTTCATCGAACTTAGATTGTAGAACTAACGGGGAATCTCTAGATATAGATAACACTATGTATAGGTTATCAAGGCAAATGATTGCTTAGATTGGTTTATCAATGTTGAGGTGTAAACACATAATGTATACGTATGATGAAAGGATATATTATCTCTCAATGGATAAATTAATAAAAATACAATCAATAACATTGAATGTACATATAAAGGCAAATATAAAAGTCAAACGCCGATGTAATAACGAATGTGTGTGTGTGTGTGTATATATAGTAATATTATTTACTTAAATCAAATACTTTTTTTCGATGCATTAAGCACATAAGAAGCAGTCTCTGTTACTTCACTATAATTCACCGTTTATCGTTCTCCGACGCGTCACACAAGGAGGACGCCGAGGCAATTATTGTCCTTGAGACAAACACGACGGTAAATAGAACGCTTTTATAGTTGCTTTCAACTCAAGACGCAAGATTTCGACACCAGATCGCAACGGAACATTGGACGGTCGCGATTCGGAAAATCCGCGAGAACCAGACGAAAAAGCTCGTCGAGAATTGCTGGTAGAAAGCTACGACACGAGCTCGTTCACGAAATTGTCCCTCCGTGTTAGCGCGAACGCGAGGGGAAGAGGCCGCGTGGCCAATTGATTCCACGTGGCATTGACCGGAGAGAGACGGACGGACTCGATTCGGTATTCGGAATGGAAAGAAGTGACGCGAGCGGCTGTGCGGCACGGACGGAAGAAGCATGCAGCGAAAAAGAGAGCGGAGATAGGACGGTAGAAATAGGTATCGTGACTCACCATGAAAACCATGAACCTTGATTGCAGGTTGGCGCTCCCGATGTAAGTCAGCGTTTTCAGCCACCGTGATCACCGCCGAGGTGGTGTCTGCTTTCCTCCCGTTTCTGTGTCTCCCTGTATCCTCCTCTTCTTTCTTTCTCTCTCTCTCTCTCTTCGTCGTCGTCGCACTTGGCGGCCACTTCGGTCGGGGCAACAGTCACTATCACTTCACTACGATTCTCACCGATTACCGTTCTCGAATTCGGCGACGCGAGGTGGACGAACCGGGGGACTTATTATTGTCGTCGGGAGAAGAGAGCACGATGCGCTTTCGATCGCCGAGCAGCTTCTCGTTGCTTCGCGAGGGGGATCGGCGACGGAAGGAAGAACGCGAATATCTCACGCGCTCGCTCGTATTCGCTGTAGTCACTGTAGTCGCGACGTAAACGCGACCGGATGGATCTTCCTCTCTCTTTCTTCCTCGGTCGGCGGTATTATTGACTATTAATTGATCTAGCTAAGTAACTTATTAATTGGCTATCGCGGCGACGGCGGACACTGGTCGTCTACCGGCATTCGATTGGCATACTGGCATGAATACTGGCCCGTTCGGCTCCGGCGTCACCTGCAACATACAAATGCGCGTCGTCCACCATTAGAAAACCGCCGCCTACGAAACTGGAAAACGTAACTAACGCGCGGAAATCATAATTCCGGTCGCCTTTGCGGCGCACCGGCAAATTTAGGCCGAGAGCACCGCGGCACCGAAATAGAGGTTACGCCCGTATCACACCGGCGATAGGCTTCTACAATAGTCCCTTGACCGATTGAGTCACCAGTGGCTCCCCTCTGATTGGTCAAGAGACGATCGTAGACACAAACACAATCGCCATCCAATGAACACCAATCATCAGTAACATAACACCAGTGTATAACTCGCCACTCAATAATATAATTGTTGCATAACACGCGCGTTATATTGTGTTTACATCGTTGAACGAGAAATTAGAACATCGGTGGTTACGTTATAGTGTCGGCTGATGTTCACTGGGTGGTGTGATACGGGCATTACTCGTCCCGAATCCCCGTCGGATTTCGCAAACGTCGCCGCTACGACGTCTTTCAGACGTGAGCGTTTGACGTCTCTTCGGTAGAGCAGATGAGAATACAAACGCGCGAGAGAATCGAAACAACGGAGAGGAACCTCTATTTCGCGTCTCCTTATATCCTCGCGTATATTGTACGAGCTAATCGGAAATTACCGTCTCTCCACGGCAAACCTGCCCTTCGAGCGTCCGTCGCGGTCGAGCGCGAGAATAACAATGCGGCGTACACGTGTCTTGCCGGATTCCCGGCGCTCAGCCGCCAGCGGCCTCGGAGTGGAGGGAGAGGCGGGGTGTAAGAAAAACGATCTCCGTCACAGAGCTCTGTTTACAAAATTTCTCTACCGCACTGATAGCAAAGGATATATATTTATTTAGGCGTATATCGTAACATCATACTTTCTTGATGTAATCGCGTACGTGGTAATAATGTGCACTGAGAGAAATTATAGTTATTTTCTTTCTAACACTTGGTATATTGAAACACAGCCGATGTGTCTCTATGTGACATGTATGAAAACTTAACTTACCAAATTGTGTGGAATATAATTTTAAATCGAGGTAAGCGAAACTACATACACACACACACATACATGTCACTGACGAAAGTAATTATTTTCCTATTATGATATTTATGATATCTTTTGGGGTAAATATTGCGTTTAACGGAGCAACGAGACACGACTGTGACTTTGACATGTATTGTTGACATGTATGTATTATCACCTTGAGTAACGTTCAAAAAGTTTCAACCTTTCTAGATTCGTAAGTCGCATCTCGATGCTTGTCTCGATGAGGTCAAAAAAAGATAAGCGAATCGACGTGAAGCTTCCTAAGGCGGAAGTGTCGACCTCCGTTATTTTGTTCCGAGGATCTAGCATGGCCGATCGATCGGGTCACCAGGAAAAACGTAGCGAATTGGATAATAGAGTGGACAAATGCAACGGCATCATTTTGCGAGGGCGCGGTCGAGTGTGCCAGGCCTGTGACGCACCCGGTCTTTATTTAAATCATTCGATCCGTCACGCTATAATCGATTAGCGCTAATAGCCGAGGAAATAGAGTTCAGTCTAGCTTGGAGCTACTCGCACTATTTCCAACTACCGTCCCCTTCGCGATTCTCCGATCATCTCCTGAGCGAACCAACGATCAATCGATCGGCCGATCAAACGTCGAATGATTATAGCGTTTTAATTAAACACTACTATATTCGTGGAAACTAGAAACGCAAGCCTGTAACTGGATGATAATCTTGAAAAAAAGTAGTAGTCCTTTTGCGCAAAGAAAATCAACGTCTCTAAAAATAAGCTTAGAAATGTTTGATATTTATTACAGCGATATTTACTTTCGAATATGCCGATTTTCCATTGAAACGGTCGATAAAATTCTTATCGAAAGATAACGGATCCTAATTATTTCGAAGAATTAATTACCGACTACGTGATTGTGCATTGAAATCTTCCTCCGGACAGAAAAGAGCACACGGAATAACTTACGATCGTTAACCGATTGTACATTCCAGCAATAACGAATTCCAGATCCGGAATGAAGTGCAATGAAGTGCAAACGTGTTGCTGACGAGGCGAATAAAATGCGTGTTGCTATTCGTACTTTCGGTAGCGCACTTTCACGACGCGCTCGCCGTATCGACGAAGTCCATCGCGATTGTGACCGATAAACGATACTTTTTATCGCGTTCGTAAGTCGCTGCGAAGTTTTAGAAAACTTTATGGTAGATATGGACTTTAGCATAATAGCTTTGTCGAGCAATAGAGTTCCACGACCACGCTCGACCTCAAACTGTGCAGTGCACAGACGTGCGTCCGTGCAGCGTCAACGAACTATAAACGTAACAATGTAATCGGCAATTGTTGTTTCTGTGTTATAATGCTATAGAAGAAATCACGTTCTCGGGTGAATCTTTTTTAACGCACTAAAAATAGAAGATACTCGAGCATGTATCATTACGAGTACACTGAGAGAGATTGTAGTTATTTTCGGCCTCGACTATACACACACAGTGAAAAATTTTGTGTCACTTTAACATAAAGAATATATTAAAAAGTATACAAAAAATATAATATTAAACACAAATTTAACATTATATTTGTGTACTTTTTGACACATACATGTGTACTTTTTAACACATTTCCGATGTTAAAGCGACACAAAATTCCAATGGAATTTTAATCCAAAATTTCTTACTGGGCATTCTCTTTTTGTGGTTTCAATTAAAAAATAATAATAGGCATATAAGGTTATCATCATAGATGTAACATTAGAATAGAAACGAAAAAAGTAAATTTTAATAACGATTTTTAAATCTCACTGACGGAAATTTCGCACATTTTATCAATGTCATGATATTTTATTCAAATTTATCAAGATACAATTACAAAGAAATCCACCGATATATGCAGTCGTGACAGCGGACATTTGGAATTACGGAAGTTGTCATCCGACGGAACGAAAAACTCAATAAGATCCGATCGAGTTACGATCCGAGGAATCGGAAGGATAGTCTTTTACCCTCATATTCCCGGGCGGACTGATCGACATTAATAGAAAACAGCACGCGCAAATGATCGGCGTATTTACGGTTTTTCGTCTTATTGGTCGGCGCGCGTTTGCACGTAGCGCAGTCGGATGGACGTCGGCTTCGGAGCAACGTGGCTATTGATCTACGGTTCGATCGATCTATCGCTGTCAGCCCCGTTTCATCGCGGGACGGACTCCTCGACGACGACGTACCAATAAAGCTCGCCAGAGGCGTCTACGGCGATCGCCTTATCGATCGCGATCCTAAATCATCGGCGATGCGATGCGATCGTTCGGACGCCGTGCGCAGCTACATGCTGTCTCTTTGTACAGCGTGATTCACGCTGACACCGAGTAACCTTCGAGGGCCCGCAAGGAGCCCTCGCGGAGAGTAAAATGTTATGCGACGAGAGGGAAATATCGTTTTATTTTTAATCAAAATTTAAGACGTCGTACTTGGACGTGCCTTGTTACACAGTACAAAATTTTCGATCAAAAGTGAAATTTTCCCATGGAAATTCTTACGTTACTTCAACGTGGGGAATATGTTAAAAAGTACACAAATATATGTTAAATTAACATATTCACCTTGTCAACCATGTGACAAGATGAAATAAGGGAAATGATGCCGAAATCAGAGTAAGAACTTTTATCACCTCCAGCGGTTGCGTTTAAAAGAAACGATGCGTGACGACAATATGCGACACTTTGAAAGTTCAAACAAACGCACGACTTTCTACGTGAAATGAACGTCTGTCGAAGTTTACCGAGCCAACCGTGAATCACCCTCTATAACGCGAACACGCGAGATTTCCACTTAGAGATCGGTGCGGCGCTTGCCTCTTAATTGAAAGATTACGAAACTTTAACGAATAACGCTCGCCCGGCCGGCTTAAGTAGAAATCGTCTATCGTAGTATCGGCATGTCCATTATATATCCCTTTCGCGCAGGTATCATTCGATACAAATCGTCCGGTTGCGCAAACCAGCGCAATCTGGAAATCTAGAGGGGACCTCATCAGCCGCGTAATTTCCTATCTCAATTATCATCGCGCTCCTTCTCTTTGCGTGTCTCTCGGTAATCGCAATTATTTACATTAACTTCCATTAACTTCCATTAACTTCCATCGTCGTAAAGAGCGAGCGCGTTGCCTCCCATCTCGCGAGCTTCGTACATAATATTCTTACACCGGAGGAATATACCGGATGACGTCGGTGCTCGATAATACCAGACTTGATAATACCGAGTTAAAACGAAGCACCGTATCGAATCTGAAAACTCGGCGCGCCTGAAGATCCAACGAATCGGCGAGACGGTCAAGAGGACACACGGTAGCAGAGATCGGCCAACACACGCTCGCGTTTCCTACACCCACACACGCGCCGGTCGATGCCGTGCACAACGTTTCTATAAGGTTTATGAATGGGGCAGCACGCGTGCGCGCGCGACCACTGGAACAGTGTGTAAGAGGCGGCAGCGAAAGTGACCTGCTCTAGCTCGTTGTACCTGCTGCTCGGAGGCATCGCGCCCGGCCTGTGTACAGCGCGTAGCACGTGCACGCACACGCAGCAGGTAGGTAGGCAGGCAGGCAGGTAAGAACCGCCCTGGATAATTGCACGGAGTGGCACCGACAGACGTTTGTCGTCGTGGGCGCGAAACGCCGCTAGGCGCCGCGCGAAGGGCGCGTCTACGCCGATTTCTACGACCTTTCGAGGCCACCAAACGGCGAGAAGGGAAGGAACATTTGTTGCGTAAGTTGTTTAAAGGATACCCTGCCGTACGACGGAAGTATAAACGCGGAAGAGAAACGGACGGGAGCGTAAGGGAAAACTTGACGAGTCGGAACAGAGAGAGAGAAAAGAGAGTTGGGGGTACATCGTGTGCTTGAATGAATTAAGTTGAATATTTAACATAACGATAGAAAGACAATGCGAAAACAACGAGATAGAGGTGCGCGTTTATTTGATAATTCGCGATGCGACA